CCGTGGCCTACTTTTCTTGACGCTTGTGTTCTAACTGACTCTTTCATTTGGCTACATTCACAAATAATTTTGCACTGAAGAAAGGCATTCTCGCCCATGTCTGGCGGGCGCTGATCAGGACGTGAGTGCTCTGGCGGCCGCTGATCAGCGCATCGCGTTCTGACGTAGACGGCGGCTGCGCTCTGGCGGCCGCTGATCAGGGCGTTTCGTTCTGACCCGCAGACGGCGACAGCGCTCTGGCGGCCGCTGACCAGGGTGTCGTGTTCTGACCCGCAGACAGCGGCTGTGCTCTGGCGGCCGCTGACCGGGGCGTCGCGTTCTGACCCGCAGACAGCGGCTGTGCTCTGACGGCCACTGATCATAGCGTCGCGTTCTGACCCGCAGACAGCGGCTGTGCTCTGGCGGCCGCTGACCGGGGCGTCGCGTTCTGACCCGCAGACAGCGGCTGTGCTCTGACGGCCACTGATCAGAGCGTCGCGTTCTGACCCGCAGACAGCGGCTGTGCTCTGGCGGCCGCTGACCGGGGCGTCGCGTTCTGACCCGCAGACAACGGCTGTGCTCTGGCGGCCGCTGACCAGGGTGTCGTGTTCTGACCCGCAGACAGCGGCTGTGCTCTGACGGCCACTGATCATAGCGTCGCGTTCTGACCCGCAGACAGCGGCTGTGCTCTGGTGGACGGCTCCGGCTTGGGCTCAGCTCATCAGGCGATCAGCATCCACCAGCAGAACGTGGCCGCTCTGGTGGCCATGTCCGAAGAAGAGCGACTCAACGCCCAGCGCGAGCTGGCAGCCAGTCTGGATCCCAAACTGATGGAGTTTGTCAGGCAGCGGAGAGCCCGGCAGGACCAGGAACGCGTCAAGAGGCCGCCCCTCGCTGCCGGTGATGGGCAGGCGTCGGCTACCGCGGAGCAGCCCATGGAAGAGTTCACCACGCTGGAGGCGGGGGTCCGAGATGGCGGCGGTCACAGACTCGCCGGCCGCGGGGCGACTGCCGGCGCCAGCGCCGGAAGTGGGCGAAGACCAGGCGATGGAGCAGCTGGAACGGGTGAAGGATCAGCTGCCCATCGACCTGGCCGAGGCCAGGAAGTGGCCGCACATGGATCACGTCGAGCCGGAGAAGCTGCTGTGGATGACGCAACTGCCGGCGCCGAAGGTGGAGCACGGCCAGACCGGCTTTGTCGCCCGCTTCGACTTCGAAGGTTGGTGGGTGGGCAGTGCCAGACGGATGACACTACATGGCCCTGCAGAGCGCCGGCGTCTGCGCCCGTTGAGAGCGAGGGGAGGGGCGGAGCGGTTTGATTCACAAGCGAATTTCACGACATCTCGTGTCTACCGGGAAAGGTACCTCTTGTCTCTTTATGTAAAGAATGCGTAGCTCATGCCATGGTGCACCACTTCCGCGGAGCACAGTCGACTTTATGTTGAAGATCAACTCATTTTCTTAAGCTGGTTGTCGGGGTGTGTCCATTGTCGTGTAAATGGACAATGGACATAGCTTTTTGTCGAGGTTGGGGTCTTGTTTTATTGAAACAATGTGTTCAGGTAGTGCGTGGTAGCCCACATGGATTATTTCAGGATAGCAGGATAAAGTTGACGAAGCACAGAAGGCTTACACTCGGAGCTGTATTACGTTATACTCGTAGCGTTGGCTTTTGACATTGTTCTTTGCATACTTCTATATCTTCCTGGGCTTGGAAGGTAACTTATTACGAGTCACTTATGCTGCTTTTGCTGACGTACATGTAAGATTGCATAAACTTTCAAAGCTTCGACAGCTTCATTTTCGTTGTATATTAAGCGTTTGTTTTTACAATTTGGGAGCACGTTTGCCACTTGCTGACATATCCACTGCGGAAACGTTAATCTTCGACGGATGAGTTTGCAGCACCCGCCTACGCCAATGCGTTTGACACTGCTCACGAGACGACCCCAAAATAGGCTCTGACAGCACAGGGACTGAAAGGTTCTCCGTGGAAATCCAGGGTTCAGAAGGAGCACACGAAGAGGGTTAACCGGCTTTGCGGAGGTCCGATGGCTGCTTGTCCCACCCGCACCCGCACCCGCACCCGCACCCGCACCTGCACCCGCACCTGCACCCGCACCCGCACCCGCACCCGCACCCGCACCCGCACCCGCACCGAACACTGTCGAGTACAAAAAGCATGTGTTGCTGGTCCGCGTTAGTGCGCGGCAGCGCCCATCGTCGCGCCGCCGCTGAACTGCAGCACTTGTCGCCGAGCCGGAGGGCTGTGGAGTGTACACACCCACAGCCGGAGCCGCTCCGCCAGCTGAGCGCTGACGGGCGCTTCTTAAGCCGCGAGACGGCGGCAGCGGCGCGTGACTGGCTCTGCTGTCCGCGCAGGCGCACTGCTGCCGTTCGCCGCCGCGCCGCCGGCACACAGCGCGCTCTACCACCACGGCCAGGAGCCGGGCCGCGCCGGCTACACGGTGGACGAGCTGTTCCGGCTGATACGCTCGGCCGCGCAGCAGCAGCGTGCTCGGCCTCCAGACGCTGGCCAACGTACTGCGCAAGGTAGCGGGCGACGGCTGGTCGGCAGGCGGCGCCCGCCGACTTGACATGTTACTCGTGGTAGGGTACACTTTTGCTGAACAAAGATGAGAACTCTGAAAACGCAAGCAGTCGCAAAGTATTTGGAAGGAAAGGCCTCCATAAAGGCTGCAAACATGACTCATGTGATAAGTATTTGGGGTATGGTGAAGGGGTAGGCGCTCTCATGTGGTGCATAGGTAAACTGTCAGAATAAGACTGGTTGCCATTACCAGTTGTGCTATGCTGCCCAACCTAACTCGTGGATGGGCTCAGTACAACTTAAGTGTTCTATAGGATATCGAGTTCACAGATTTCGTTTCAACTGAACCTGGACCAAAATCATTCTGCACTTTAAATGACGCGCATTGACCACTGCACCGGCTCACTCTTGGCATTGGCTGCTGCAGCGTCGTGGCCGGACGGTGTGTGTTTGTCTGACGCACCGGCGCGCCGCGGCGTCGGCAGGCCAAGTCGGGCGTGTATGACGGCGTGCTGGAGCCGCCGCTGCTGGGCCGGCTGCTGGACGCCGGCCTGCTGCTGCTGCTGCGCTTCGCTGTGGATGACGCGGCGGCGCCCGTCATGACCGCCGGGCTGGCCGCCCTGGAGGCGCTCATCGAGAGTCGGCCGGACGAGGTGGGTCCTGCAGACACAGTCGATGGGACGAGGTGAGTCCTGCAGACACTGTCGATGGGACGAGCTGGGTCCTGCAGACACTGACGGTCGGACAAGATGGGTCCTGCAGACACTGTCGATGGGACGAGCTGGGTCGTGCAGACACTGACGGTCGGACAAGATGGGTCCTGCAGACAATGTCTGTGGGACAAGGTGGGTTCTGCAGACGCTGTTGATGGCACAAGCTGAGTCCTGCAGACGCTGACGGCCGGACGAGGTGGGTCCTGCAGGCACAGTCGATGGACGAGGTGGGTCCTCTAGACACAGTTGGCCGGACGAGCTGGGTCTCCGCTCGGTCGGGAATCCAGTTCGTCGGATTCGCCCAGCTTGCCCCCGTTCGCCTCCACAGCCCAGCTCCGCACACGCTGTCGGCCGGTCGGTGTCATTGTCCGCGTGGTCTGACCGATCTTACGGCATTTGGGACTGTCACATCTGTGCGCCTGCCGTTAGCGAGAGCTTCAGTGGAGACGGCGGATCCCTCCCGCACTCGCATTACGAACGTGCTTCTCTGTGCGGCGCGCGGAGGCGGGACTCACGCGTGTGGCGCGGCAGCTCCGCGCCAGCTCTGTGTGGGCCGTGTGCTGGACCAGACTCGCCGTTCGGCGGACGTGTCCGGGCCGTGGTGTGGACAGCAGCCTGCTGCGGTAGTGTGTCTGGACCGCGTGCTCGGCTGGAGTCGGGGTCTGGAGCAGCCGTCGCTGCCCACCTCGGTGGACACGGAGCCGGACACGGACCGGCAGTACCAGGCAGAGGAGCCCGGCCTCAAGGACGGCGACGTCACCCGGCTGGACGCCGTGCGCGGTCTGGTCCGCATCGATACGCTGCCGAGGCTGAGGTGGGCGCCGGCGGGGCACGCGGGCCGGCCTCACATGGGTAGACAGACACCCTCACCCGGCGACGGGGGTACACTCGCCAGGGTGGGCCGTGGAAGTAGCGCGCAGCCCGGCCCGGACCTGTGCACTGACGCTGTGTGGTTGTACAAATGGATACCGGCGTCGTCCCATCCACCGGAAGGCCTCATGATGTGTGTTAGGAGATTGGCTTGGTTGACGTCGGAAAATTGATTGCGGCATTGCGCACATTCCTACCTATTTGCACAACTCTTGCACAATGGCTTGTGTCTGTAATATTGTCTGCAGCGAGTACCTCATACCATACTGAAGCTGGCTGTAACGATGGTGAACATGTTGCCACCTTTAGTGAGGTCAGCACACCTGTAACCTGACCTCTGACCTGACTTGACCTGACCCGAACAGCCTGACCAGCCTGACGGGACCACACCTGCCTGATCTGACCAGTCGGACCTGACCTGTCAGGTACATACTGGAGGTGCTGCGGCCGTCTCCACCGGCTGTGATCTCTGCCGTGCGCTTGCTGACCCGCTGCTGCCGACACTCGCTGCAACTGGCGTCCGAGGTGGCCGCCTGCCCGCGCCTGCTCCACACGCTGGTCACCGCCTTCCTGCCCGTCTGCGGCGCGGCACCGCTAGGTCAGCGCGCCGCCGCCTCCGCCGCCGGGCCGCATGGCTCGCGGGCTGGGCCACGTGCCAGGTCGTGGTCAGCAGGCAGGGGCGCACGCACTCGCTGCTCACGTGGTTGATGTGCGCGAGGGACATCAGCTGCGTCTGGTCCCGTGGTCTCTCGCTGTTAGTAATTGCGAAATTGCGCTGTGTGTGCGTGCGTGCGTGCGTGCGTGCGTGCGTGCGTGCGTGCGTGCGTGCGTGCGTGCGTGCGTGCGTGCGCGCGTGCGTGCGTGCGTGCGTGCGTGGCGTGCATGCATGCGTGTGTGTATGTGACCTTTCAGATAAACACAAGGATGCTGGCCACGTCTAGGTCTGCAGTGTGTAACTTCCACATGACTTTGGTTCCCATTAGCGTTGATCACCATGTTCTACTTGCTGCTGATATGTTTTTTTATTGACCAATCAGCCACCAAGGCTCGCTGACAGCCAGCGTGCAGCTCCTTCCGCCGATTTATCGATGAACTCAGCACCGTCTTCTGGCCTTCCTCACTAATTCATAAAGTCCTGAAATTCCCGTCCACCACATTTTGGACAGCCTGCAGCCCTGAAGCTCCTATCGGGTTGTCGGGCTGACTGCGCCGTTTCAGCCGATGGCCATGTCTGTGCTAACGGGCGTCGGTGGGGCCGGCAGAGGGCTGCGAGAACGTGGCCCAGCTCAGCTCCGTGTATGGGGTGCCGCTGCACCACGTGGTCAGGCTGCTGCGTGTGCTGGCCGTGCAGAGCGCGCAGCTGGCCGGCCGGCTGGTGCGCCAGCACCCCGTCCTGCCGGCCCTGCTCAGCTACGTGGCCATCAACCCCAGGTGAACGCTCTGCTTGCATCCGAGCTGCGTCCCTCGGTCCGCGCGCAGCGGGGCGAGGCTTCAGTTGTCGCTGGCTTCTTGTCTTGTTTTCCTGGTCGTCAATGGCGCTGCTCTCTGCCACGTTGTACTGATGAGCTATATTTATGCGAGTAAATTGGTCATATCATTGTGGTGTTTGCCCATTATGCTGGAGGCTAGGCTGGTGCAGTTGTGGCGTTGTCATGGCAACGCTCGATTGGTTGAGGTGACGTTCGACGGTTTGCTGATATGCCTCATGCCGCTGCCAGTGAGAGCGGGATGTCATCTGCCAGTGATGCTGGCATGCGTTCTGCCGTTGCCAGTGAGAGCGGGATGCCGTCTGCCAGTGATGCTGACTGACATGCGTTCTGTTGTTGCCAGTGAGAGCGGGATGTCCTCTGCCAGTGATGCTGACATGCGTTCTGCCGTTGTCAGTGAGAGCAGGATGCCGTCTGCCAGTGATGCTGACATGCGTTCTGTTGTTGCCAGTGAGAGCGGGATGTCCTCTGCCAGTGATGCTGACATGCGTTCTGCCGTTGTCAGTGAGGGCAGGATGCCGTCTGCCAGTGATGCTGACATGCGTTCTGTTGTTGCCAGTGAGAGCGGGATGTCCTCTGCCAGTGATGCTAACATGCGTTCTGCCGTTTTCAGTGAGAGCAGGATGCCGTCTGCCAGTGATGCTGACATGCGTTCTGTTGTTGCCAGTGAGGGCGGGATGTCCTCTGCCAGTGATGCTGGCATGCGTTCTGCCGTTGTCAGTGAGAGCAGGATGCCGTCTGCCAGTGATGCTGACATGCGTTCTGTTGTTGCCAGTGAGAGCGGGATGCCGACTCAGGAGGTGCTTACCCTGGCCGTGGAGGCGTACCGGCTCTGGACCGTGCTGCTCAGCTACGGACTCGGTGACTCTCACTTCATGTGCGAACGCCGGCCACAGCTTTGGGGTGTCCGTCGATGATCCGAGATACGGGGACCATGCTGGTTTTTATGCAATGGGCTGCAGCGATGGCAACTTTGGGCGCTCGTGAAATCGACGTCATCTAAATTTTGGCTCAAATCTCAGTGTATTGCCTCTTTAAGTAGCCTTTGAGCAGCAAACCATCGTCTAACCTGGCATCTGCCCGTTGTGGCATTCCTTTTACTGATAGTGAAATAGTAATAGTGTTCATCTGCACCGAAACTGTGTCGTCCTGCCAGTATAGGTGGCTGGATTGCTGTTGTTACTCGTCAGTTGTCCTTGATGTTGTGATACCTGGAAGTTGTGAATTGTCACGTTATTGACGCTAGTCCCCATTCACGACTGAATGTCAGTCACGATTCACAAGGGGAGCCGGTTGGCGGACGCAGCGTCGTGGGAGCGGGAGCCTCGCCGTGGCACTGACCAGCCTCCTCCGCCGGCAGCGAGGGACGCAGCGTCGTGGGAGCGGGAGCCTCGCCGTGGCACTGACCAGCCTCCTCCGCCGGCAGCGAGGGACGCAGCGTCATGGGAGCGGGAGCCTCGCCGTGGCGCTGACCAGCCTCCTCCGCCGGCAGCGAGGGACGCAGCGTCGTGGGAGCGGGAGCCTCGCCGTGGCACTGACCAGTCTCCTCCGCCGGCAGCGAGGGACGCAGCGTCATGGGGGCGGGAGCCTCGCCGTGGCACTGACCAGCCTCCTCCGCCGGCAGCGAGGGACGCAGCGTCGTGGGAGCGGGAGCCTCGCCGTGGCACTGACCAGCCTCCTCCGCCGGCAGCGAGGGACGCAGCGTCATGGGAGCGGGAGCCTCGCCGTGGCACTGACCAGCCTCCTCCGCCGGCAGCGAGGGACGCAGCGTCATGGGAGCGGGAGCCTCGCCGTGGCACTGACCAGTCTCCTCCGCCGGCAGCGAGGGACGCAGCGCCATGGGAGCGGGAGCCTCGCCGTGGCACTGACCAGCCTCCTCCGCCGGCAGCGAGGGACGCAGCGTCATGGGAGCGGGAGCCTCGCCGTGGCACTGACCAGTCTCCTCCGCCGGCAGCGAGGGACGCAGCGTCATGGGCGGGAGCCTCGCCGTGGCACTGACCAGCCTCCTCCGCCGGCAGCGAGGGACGCAGCGTCATGGGAGCGAGAGCCTCGCCGTGGCACTGACCAGCCTCCTCCGCCGGCAGCGAGTTCTTCCCGCTGCTGGTGCGGCAGCTGCACTTCTACCTGGCCGCCGTGTCCGTCAACGAGGCGGCGGAGACCAACCGACACAACCACGACCTGGCCACCTGCCTTCTGGCGCTGTGCCGCGCCGCCGTCTGCGCCGCCTGGAGCAACCACCAGACCGAGCTGCTCAACCGCGCCGGGTCTGTTGGTGGCCATCGGAGGGCGGCGGGAGATGAGGCCGGCTGGGGCTGCCGTGCGTGCGTGGCACGCTGCGGTTGGGGTGGTCGAGGTTATGTTCCCAAGAGCGTGCGGATCGATGTGTTTCAATGGGCGAAAGTCCACTCGGTCGTCTCAGCTATTTTGGTCTTGGGACACCGTTCTCACGTGGTTAGCTGGCTGAGTTTTGGGTGGATGCTGACTGGACGGGCTGGCGGGGTTCCGGTCGCTCTTCATGCGTCATGCGTCATTGCGTCTTCTTGCGTCATGCGTCACTGCGTCATTGCGTCTTCTTGCGTCATACGTCATTGCGTCATTGCGCCCCGCGTCATGCGGCTGACGTGCTGAGCTTGTGTAAGCAGGGCCGACATGACGGCGCCTGGGCGCTGCGCTGGGGTCACGTGGCCGGCCTGCTGGAGCCGGTAGAGCAGTGCACCAGGAAGTGGCTGCGGGAGGCGACGCGGGCCGACCAGCTGACGGTGAGGGCCGCTCGGCCGCACCGTAGTCCGTACCGCCACTAACCCCGCTCCCTCGGGGTGCGGGTAGTGTACTGCGTTAACCACTGCGCGTCTGGGAAACCAGAGATACGGGGTTCGATTCCCCGCGGTGTCCGCCCTTCCTGCCAGGGTGAAAGGCAGGCGACGCTAATTAGCTAAGTATTATATGATATATAATATAATTAGTAGCTAAATAGCTAATAAGCCTCAGCAGCTGAGTACGTCGTAAACCCCAATGGCACACGCACGCACGCACGCACGCACGCACGCACGCACGCACGCACGCACGCACGCACGCACGCACGCACGCACGCACGCACGCATGCACGCACGCACGCACGCACGCACACGCACACGCACACGCACACACGCACACACACACACACCACCGCTCCTTCGCAACACCAAGGTGCTCTTAGTCTTAAACTCAGAGCAGCGGTATTTTGTGCGAAACCAAGGAGTGGAAGGATAGCCGATGAATCGTTAATGTTCCGCTCTCTTGTGCTGATTAATGTTCGCACTCGCTCTCTTGGCCGCCGAACGGCGCTGGAAGACGCTCATGTGAGCTCCACTTTTTACGCCACAAGAACACTTCTGGCTGGCTGCCGGAGGCCGTGGCAGTGGGGTATTAGAGCTGTTGTAGCGTGACTGACCTGGATCAGGGCCGACGCCGACGCGTCGCTGCTCGTCGACATGCAGGGCGTAGTGCGCCTGCACTACGGACATGACACCACCGTGACATCATCTCCCTTGCAGGACAACGTGCTGCAGCTGCTGGGCGGCTGCTTCCAGTTCCTGACGGCGTTTCACGAGCGCTGGGCACGCCTGGGTCTGGACGACACCGTCCCCCGGCTGCGCAGCATCCAGCGCCTCTGCGACGACACTGTCGTTCCATTTGTGACAGCGGACGCGTGCCGGCAACAGCTTGCGAAACTTAGGTATATTCGGCCCTAGCATATGTGTCGCGGGCTTGTGCCCGCAAAGGCTTTTTTTCGCACATGGATCAGTGTGGTTTTAAAGTCCTTGTGGTTCGCATGGAGAAATCGACAGTTGCACTCCAGTGCCATCTGGACGGGTTTGTCTCCAGCGTTGCTAATGCCGTGTGGCACATGTCGGTGCGCACGGGTGCGAGCCGCTCTTCACGGCGCGCGCCACCGGACCGGCCTCGGCCGCGGTGCGCTGACGTGGCCGGCGCGCCGGCAGGGAGTTCTCGAGCCTGCTGAGCGGGCTGGAGTCGGGCCGCGGCCGCGACCCGGCCAGCCTGCCGTCAGCGGCAGCTGTCGGCTATGGCGGCCAGCTGGGTCCCGTGCTGCGCGCCGGCAGCCCGCTGCCGCTGCTCGCCGGCCTGCTGCAGCTGGCGCGCGCCCTGGCCAGGCTGCACCGCGGCGTCAGCGACGCGGTCAGTGGCTGGCGCCACCCGGCCGGCTCGTTGTGTTTGTTCCTCCCTCCCCCTCCGACGGACGGACGGACGGACGTCATCGTTCCCTCCCTCCCTCCCTCCGACAGCTAGAGGGGACGGGCTGCGTACGTCCCCGGAGGTCGGAGGTTGCCCCACGGCGCCCTGTGGTGCTTCAGCAGGTCACTGCGTGGCGCAGCAGCTGTGCAGGCTTTATGAGACCAACGGGTGAAATATTTGCCATTCGTGCATGTCACTGAGTGTACGGGTGCACTGCCACTGCTGTAGAGGCTGGCTACCCATCCATGCTGTCTAAACTTTTGTTACGCTGCATGCGTTTTACGTTACTGTGTTTTGCGGTATCGTTTAAGTTGTCCTCTCTTTAACCATGATTCCATCGTCGCCACATGCGTTATGAGTTCATGCTGTTGCCGTTTCCAAGTTGTACGTGCGCGCGGTGCGGTGCATTGTAATCCCAGTCGTGGCGGGCCCGCCTACCTCCCGCTTCCCCTGGGGCCGACAGCCGGCCGTGACGCGCGCCTCTGACCGCCACAGCTCTGCGGCCCGCTGCTGCGCGACGCCTCGGCTGCCGACTACCTGTCGACGGTGGCGGCCGGCGGCCGGCTCAGCCTGGTGGGCGACTGGTTCACGCGCTACGAGTTGCACCTGGCCGCCGAGCTGCTGCTGCTGCACGCCCAGCAGGTGAGGGGGCGGGGGCGGGGGCGGCGCTGACTGAGGCCACCCGGCACGCCTGCCGGCTCGGAGGCCGCGGCCGGCGACACTGCACCGCCTCAGGGGGAGGGGAAGGGCAGCAGAGGCCCCGGCTTGGCCGGTTGAGGTGAGCCGGGTCACTGACCGGCCGGGGCTGCTGGGAGGGCGGTCCTGTTGAGCTCGCTCGCCGAGCGGCGAGCCCATTGGATTGTGTGGTGGAAATCGTTTACTTTTCCCAGTAGTGCTTCTTGTCGCGGTTGAATAAAGATGAACACAAATTGACATGAGAAGTAGGCGCGTGGAAGACAAAATGTTTCGAATTCCTTCACACTATCAAGGAAGAACATAGAGATTGGCGTGTCGGAAACGGCAACTGGACACCGCACGCCGTTCATCAACACTTTTATTTCTCATTGGCCCATTGAAGTGCCTTACAGAAGCCGCATGCAGGCTGCCCCAGAGCGGCTCCTCCTGATTAATGCCATGCGCGGCAGGATCTGCGCTCTGAGCCCAGCCAGCGTTGCATTGGCGACTTCTCGGAGGCGCTGCCGTCTTTGGGGATGCTCCAGGGCGAAAGCGCAGTTTTTTTTGGGACATTTAATGTGACCGTCCATCTCTTGCATAGTCAAAAAGTCTGCCTTTCCATTATTGGCGAAAATTATATCTTATTGTGTTGCTCCTTGTGGACGTTAGAGACAGGCAATGTACACGTTGTGACGATCGTACCTTACGGCGCTGGATAGAGAGTACGAGATGTTTTACCACGGGACGGCAGCTAGAGCACGCGACCTTATTCCTGATGTAATATATATATATATATATATATATATATATATATATATATACAAGAGTTCTGATATGTTCGTTATTTTAATCAGAAGCATGTAGAAAATGAGATAGGGTCTTCTGTTACAGTATGTACTGTAGAATGTACGCCTGCATTGGGTGGGTGTCGGGCCTTTCGCGATGAAACTTCAATGACATTTTGCTTTTGGGAGATCAAAAATGTGCCCGAATATAAATTAAGGATTCTAGCAGTCAGCTGTGTCGAGAAGAGCACCAAATTTGCACACTTAGACTGACAGTAGTTGTTGTCTACGCCTTTGTCACCCAAATGCGGGTGATTCAAGAGGTGTTGTAATGACAAAGCGTTCTCTGCAGTATTTGCCGGCGCTGTTTTTATCCTTTTTTGCGTTGTGTCTCTGACACTCCTGAAACGATAGTGGACTCAGTGTCACGGTGTTGATGGTATACGCTGGCCCAGGGTGCGCCCCCTGCGAGTCGCGTTTTTGCGCTTTGTATTCACGCCGGCGGAACAAAACATGGAGCACGTCTTTCAAAACTGTGTGGATTTTTATTTAACGAGGCATATCTATTGGTGCATATAACTTACCTGCGCTGCTCTGGACGTTCCTAGATGTTAGTATTTTGTGGTTAGCATAATGCGTATGGTAAGCTTGGTCATGAACCATCAGCTGCATGCGTGCGTGCGTGCGTGCGTGCGTGCGTGCGTGCGTGCATGAATATCAACTGTGAAGGGCTGTGTATGTATGTGTGTCGTCCCCGAAAGGTTCGTCAACTCAAGGCTCCTGATGGAAACGGCACGTGAGCAGTGCTGATCGCCAAGTTTCATAAGAGAAATAGTATCGATGTATAACCGTAACACGTGTTGCCACTATGGAGAGCGCTGAGCCTCAGCCCTTCAATACTGCACTGTGCCACCCGGAATCCGAGTCGGAGCGCATTGCCGTGAGTCGAGTCGGAACTGATTCAGCTGAAGCGGAGCTGAGCTAAAGCCACTGCTCACCACGCTGCTTCGTACCCGAGGCGCAGAATGTTGGCTCAGATTTGTCATCCGAAATTCTCAAAATAACATGTGGTATTTCGATGAATAAAATGAGCGCAAACGTCGCTAAGCTCAGTTTCGAAGCGTTCAAGGCGTGCCAGTTAAGTCGACAGACGGTCATTGTTTAAACGCTTTCGGTACCAAGCGATGCAACTAAGGCAGTGGTTGTCTTCTGGATCGACGCTCCTTATTGTGACGCTGTTGGCAGTTGTTACCATTCATCACCTGAAGACATTCCTGCTAAGAAAGGAGACTCCCCCTGTTCCAGACGCCTGATGTTCGACTATTTCACTTCACTACCAACTTGCGATAATGCATCAACTTCCTCAACCATGTCTTTGTTGACTGCGCCTGAATTCGCCGGAGACTGCCGCAGGCCCTTTAAAATTTGACAGGTGCACGTTCAAAGTTTGATGTAACAACACAAATTTTAGTACTCCATCTCATTAGGTCCATTCAGAAGCCTCAGCCAGGAAACCTGGTGGGAAGATGGGTTCTTTCGCTCACTTCGCCCCTTCCCCTCCCCCCGCGTAGAAATACTGCGAGGTTTCCAACAACGAACGCCAACCTCAGTCAGCATGTCAGATAGCATTGTCGCCGCTGTTTATGTGCCCAACGTTTCTTGCCGTTCATATTCCTTCCTTTCGCGCCTGTCCCGTCACCATTTGTCCCGCCCTCGCCGCGTCACCATCTCTGCTCCAGTCACGCGAACCCGTCCGCTGTGGGCTGTGTCGACTCACACTCGTGACTCGACAACCGGCCTGGGATCGCGCTGTTGGCATTGGCAGCTAATGTGCAGATGCGCCGCACAGCTGCGTCCGCCGACGGCGTGCCGGGCTGGCCCCCGCGCCGCCGCCGCCGCCGCCGCCGCTGACGCGTGCCCTCCCGCCGCAGGGGAGCCCGGCCGCGCGGACGTGCCACGAGGTCGGCCTCCGCCTGCTGCACTGCTACCAGACGGGCGATGAGCACCTCTGCGTCGAGCTCATGCGCCACGTGCTCTTCAGCAGGAGTCTGGCCACGTGAGACGGGCACGGACGAGCGGCGCAGCACTACTGCTGCCCACGTGGCCGAGGCCACCGCGCATGCTACTGAATACTTCGGCGTACATTATATGCATAAGTGAATGGATGCTGATAGAAAGATGGCCTCTGGGGCATACCGTATGTCGCTGAATTGGTGAAGGTATTGCTTGTCATTTAATGTGTCATTTACAAGTGTGAAGGAAGCGTACAAGGAAGCGTAGTGAAGCAATGTTCAGCAGTGGGTGGTGAGGTAGGTGTCGAGACATTGACGGCTGGCAGTGAGTCGACTTCCCCCGTTGTTTGGGATCAAGAGCCGGCGCCGGCCTCTAACGTGGCCCAATGTTCTGATAATCCTCCGGCGTCAGCCGCCGTCGGCCGACCCCCGTGACGGCTCCGATGACCGGCAGGGAAACGGCGCCGGCCGGCGGCGCCCTGGAGCCGGCGCTGGCGCAGCTGGTCTCCTCCTGCGGCCTGTACGAGCGCTGCCTGTTACCGCCGGCGGCGACCGCCGCCGCGCGCGACCGCGCCGACTCGCTGGCCGGCCGCGTGGCGGCGCTGGCGGTGCCTGACGCTGGCTCCACGCTGGTGCCTCTCGACTGGTGGTACGCGCCGCTGGTGCAGCTCTACGAGCGGCACAACGCGTGAGTGTCGCCGGCGCCGGCGCCGAACCGCCTGTGGCGCCGGCTCATGCGGTCAAGGAGACGCACTGCAGGGGCACCAGGCCCACTGGCGGGCTGCGATGGTGGCGCCGGCCGACCTTGTGAAATCTTCCGATGGCTCCTGGCTGTCGCTAGTTATCTGTATTTGACAGAGATAGCATCGGTAATAAGAAAATGTAAGCAACTATGACAGAGCCCTGCAAAAACTGTTTGAACGAGGCCATTTGCCTAGGCGTGCCAAACTGACTGCTCTTTCGATTTTCAAATGCTTGTCTATCCAAATAACTTGCGCGTGGAGCATAGTGGAATGCGTCTGGCAGTGCTTGTACGTTTGTATCACGTGCCATGGTGTCGTTCCCTGCTCTGACCACCGGACTACCACGTCTTACGCGCTGCCATGGCGTCGTTCCCTGTCCTGACCACCGGACTGCCACGCCTTACGCGCTGCCATGGCCGTTTCCTGTCCTGACCACCGGACTACCACGCCTTACGCGCTACCATGGCGGCTGGCGGCAGTGAGGAGAGGCCCACCGGGCTGGAGCCGGCCGGCCTGCGCGGCGTGGAGCCGGCTCAGGTGGTCACGCGTTGTCTGCACCTGCTCCACCTGCTGGCCGCGCTCCACCCGCGCCTGCTGGACGCCGTCTCAGTGACGTCGCACTTCGCCCGGCTGTGCTGCGTCTTCCTGGCAGGTAGCGTGCGCGGTCTGCGGCCGGCCGGTCCGCCGCCAGCTGTCGGCGGCCAGTCTCCAGCCGCTCGCAGCTGCTGATCGTTAGCGGGAAGCTGTCTGCACTGTTGTCTGGTGCGACTGGGACTCTAAAGGCCAGATATATCGTAGTTGTGTGTAATAATGAACAATAGCTGTTTTAAGCGTAGCGTAGGTCACAACGACAGGCGCATATGAAACTGAACGGCATCTTTTGTCCCGAAGTTCTTGCATCACTAGAAATTCAGGTGTTCGCAAACGTGTTGTTTGGTTCAGAATAAACCAGACAAAACCGATTCATATCTTATACTCATTCATTTTTCATATGTTCATATGTACACACATACACACGCACACGCACACGCACGCGCATATATATATATATATATATATATATATATATATATATATATATATATATATATTACATACATGCGTACATACACCTACACTTGACATTCAAATTCAGATATTCAAATATATTTGGTGCTTACAATGTACGGCGTGTTGCAATGAAACACAGTTGCTGACTCCGGTATACTGAAGCAGTTGCGAACGGTCGGCTACTGGCGTGAACGAGGTAACAATCGTGTTTGCCGTATCTTACTTGTATCATATCTGCATATGCACATGACCGGGTCACAGCTTTCCACTGCTCCGCTTCCTATGCATCAATACATACACTGCCGTTCCCTCAGTCGCTTCGCAAGGGCGGCACCCACGTGGTGTTCGTAGCTCGGAGACAGGACGACATCAGGATTCGATATCTCGTGATCTGTCATGGCGCGGCACGCTGCTCTATAGAGGAGACAGGACAACATCAGGATTCGATGTTTCGTGATCTGTCATGGCGCGGCACGCTACTCTATAGAGGAGACAGGATGACGACAGGATTCGATGTCTCGTGATCTGTCATGGCGCGGCACGCTGCTCTATAGAGGAGACAGGATGACGACAGGATTCGATGTCTCATGATCTGTCATGGCGCGGCACGCTGCTCTACAGAGGAGACAGGATAACATCAGGATTCGATGTCTTAATCTGTCGTGGCGCAGCACGCCGCTCTATAGAGGAGACAGGATTCGATGTCTCTTGATCTGTCGTGGCGCGCCACGCTGCTCTATAGAGGAGACAGGATGACGACAGGATTCGATGTCTCGTGATCTGTCATGGCGCGGCACGCTGCTCTAGAGAGGAGACAGGATGACGACAGGATTCGATGTCTTAATCTGTCGTGGCGCAGCACGCCGCTCTATAGAGGAGACAGGATGACGACAGGATTCGATGTCCCGTGATCTGTCATGGCGCGGCACGCTGCTCTAGAGAGGAGACAGGATGACGACAGGATTCGATGTCTTAATCTGTCGTGGCGCAGCACGCCGCTCTATAGAGGAGACAGGATTCGATGTCTCGTGATCTGTCGTGGCGCGCCACGCTGCTCTATAGAGGAGACAGGATGACGACAGGATTCGATGTCTCGTGATCTGTCATGGCGCGGCACGCTGCTCTAGAGAGGAGACAGGATGACGACAGGATTCGATGTCTCGTGATCTGTCATGGCGCGGCACGCTGCTCTAGAGAGGAGACGGGATGACGACAGGATTCGATGTCTCTTGATCTGTCGTGGCGCGGCACACTGCTCTATAGAGGAGACAGGATGACGACAGGATTCGATGTCTCTTGATCTGTCATGGCGCAGCACGCTACTCTATAGAGGAGACAGGATGACGACAGGATTCGATGTCTCGTGATCTGTCATGGCGCGGCACGCTGCTCTATAGAGGAGACAGGATGACGACAGGATTCGATGTCTCGTGATCTGTCATGGCGCGGCACGCTGCTCTAGAGAGGAGAGAGGATGACGACAGGATTCGATGTCTTAATCTGTCGTGGCGCAGCACGCCGCTCTATAGAGGAGACAGGATGACGACAGGATTCGATGTCTCGTGATCTGTCATGGCGCGGCACGCTGCTCTAGAGAGGAGACAGGATGACGACAGGATTCGATGTCTTAATCTGTCGTGGCGCAGCACGCCGCTCTATAGAGGAGACAGGATTCGATGTCTCGTGATCTGTCATGGCGCGCCACGCTGCTCTATAGAGAGACAGGATGACGACAGGATTCGATGTCTCGTGATCTGTCATGGCGCGCCACGCTGCTCTATAGAGGAGACAGGATGACGACAGGATTCGATGTCTCGTGATCTGTCATGGCGCGGCACGCTGCTCTAGAGAGGAGACAGGATGACGACAGGATTCGATGTCTCGTGATCTGTCATGGCGCGGCACGCTGCTCTAGAGAGGAGACGGGATGACGACAGGATTCGATGTCTTAATCTGTCGTGGCGCAGCACGCCGCTCTATAGAGGAGACAGGATGACGACAGGATTCGATGTCTCGTGATCTGTCATGGCGCGGCACGCTGCTCTAGAGAGGAGACAGGATGACGACAGGATTCGATGTCTTAATCTGTCGTGGCGCAGCACGCCGCTCTATAGAGGAGACAGGATTCGATGTCTCGTGATCTGTCATGGCGCGCCACGCTACTCTATAGAGGAGACAGGATGACGACAGGATTCGATGTCTCGTGATCTGTCATGGCGCGCCACGCTGCTCTATAGAGGAGACAGGATGACGACAGGATTCGATGTCTCGTGATCTGTCATGGCGCGGCACGCTGCTCTAGAGAGGAGACAGGATGACGACAGGATTCGATGTCTCGTGATCTGTCATGGCGCGGCACGCTGCTCTAGAGAGGAGACGGGATGACGACAGGATTCGATGTCTCTTGATCTGTCGTGGCGCGGCACACTGCTCTATAGAGGAGACAGGATGACGACAGGATTCGATGTCTCTTGATCTGTCATGGCGCAGCACGCTACTCTATAGAGGAGACAGGATGACGACAGGATTCGATGTCTCGTGATCTGTCATGGCGCGGCACGCTGCTCTATAGAGGAGACAGGATGACGACAGGATTCGATGTCTCGTGATCTGTCATGGCGCAGCACGCTGCTCTGTAGAGGAGACAGGATGACGACAGGATTCGATGTCTCTTGATCTGTCATGGCGCGGCACGCTGCTCTATAGAGGAGACAGGATGACGACAGGATTCGATGTCTCTTGATCTGTCATGGCGTGGCACGGTACTCTGTAGAGGAGACAGGATGACGACAGGATTCGATGTCTCTTGATCTGTCATGGCGCGGCACGCTGCTCTACAGAGGAGACAGGATGACGACAGGATTCGATGTCTCTTGATCTGTCGTGGCGCGGCACGCTGCTGTATAGAGGACAGATGACGACAGGATTCGATTTCTCGTGATCTGGTCATGGCGCGGCACGCTGCTCTAAGAGAGTCAGACAGGATGACGACAGGATTCGACTCTCGTGATCTGTCATGGCGCGGCACGCTGCTCTATAGAGGAGAACAGGAATGACGACAGGATTCGATGTCTCGTGGTCTGTCATGGCGCGGCACGCTGCTCTAGAAAGAAGGAGCCTACACACGGGAGTTTTCAGGTGCTTTGAGGTCCAAACGCAGTGTTTTTGAGGATGTTTTACATGTATCGCCGCGAAACAAGCAGATGCACAGACCGTAATTCTCCAATGTTAAAATGTTTCCCTTCTCGCTACATCATGGTCTTACTGCTTAACACCGCAGGTGTAGCGGCCGCGGCGCACCTGTTGGTCAGAGCGGTATGGTAAGCGGCGCTTGGTGATCGCCGGCCTGAGCCCGCTCGGCGCCAGCCCGTAACCGGTCCGACCGGCCGCCAGGGGACGACCTCTTCCTGGCGAGGCCGTGCAGCGCGCCCTCCGGCTGGCGCTGGGTCACGTGCTGCGCCAGCCGGCGCGACTCGACCTCACAGCAGAGGTGCCCGGCCTGGCCGCTTCGCCGACCTGTGAGTGAGGCGGCACACAGGCTGATCAGAGGCCTGTGACAGGGAGGGGTCACAGGCTGGCCAGTGGCCTGTGGCAGGGAGGGTCACAGGCTGGCCAGTGGCCTGTGACGAGGAGGGGTCACAGGCTGGCCAGTGGCCTGTGCAGGGAGGGGTCACAGGCTGGCCAGTGGTCCTGTGACGCGGAGGGGTCACAGGCTGGCCAGTGGCCTGTGACAGGAGGGGTCACAGGCTGGCCAGTGGCCTGTGACGGGAGGGGTCACAGGCTGGCCAGTGGCCTGTGGCAGGGAGGGGTCACAGGCTGACCAGTGCCTGTGGCAGGGAGGGGTCACAGGCTGGCCAGTGGCCTGTGAGAGTGAGGGGTCACAGGCTGGCTAGTGCCTGTAACAGGGAGGGGTCACAGGCTGGCCAGTGGCCTGTGACGCGGAGGGGTCACAGGCTGGCCAGTGGCCTGTGACAGGGAGGGGTCACAGGCTGGCCAGTGGCCTGTGGCAGGGAGGGGTCACAGGCTGGCCAGTGGCCTGTGAGAGTGAGGGGTCACAGGCTGGCCAGTGGCCTGTGACGGGGGGGGGGGGGGTCACAGGCTGGCCAGTGGCCTGTGGCAGGAGGGGTCACAGGCTGGCCAGTGGCCTGTGGCAGGGAGAGGGTCACAGGCTGGCCAGTGGCCTGTGGCAGGGAGGGGTCCCAGGCTGGCCAGTGGCCCTGTGGCAGGGAGGGGTCACAGGCTGGCCAGTGGCCTGTGGCGCGGAGGGGTCACAGGCTGGCCAGTGGCCTGTGACGGGGAGGGGTCACAGGCTGGCCAGTGGCCTGTGGCAGGGAGGGGTCACAGGCTGACCAGTGGCCTGTGGCAGGGAGGGGTCACAGGCTGGCCAGTGGCCTGTGAGAGTGAGGGGTCACAGGCTGGCTAGTAGCCTGTAACAGGGAGGGGTCACAGGCTGGGCCATGGCCTGTGACAGGGGAGGGGTCACAGGGTGATCGGGACCTATAAGAGGGGTGATATTGGCTGTTCAGATTGCCTTTGAAAGGAAGGGAGGCACCAATGGGAGAACCGGGGGATGGGGTTATGGGCCGGCAGTGACCCCGTTCGAGCGCGTCCCGTAAAACGACATGACGTCTCCTCTTTCCATAAAGCTCGATGCTTGAACGGACTTGCAGCACAGCTCAGTCCGCTTTGTGCTAAGCAGGGCAAAAACGAATTCATTAAGCTGTCATATTCTGTTTCTTGACAACATTGGGAGGGAGGGCTCAACATTCATGTGCGCCAATGTGAGCCATGTAACATCCATGTGAGCCACTGGGCTAGCCATAACTACATTGTTTTGGGGTGGCCCGTTGAATGGCTTTGGTTCCGTTCACCAGCACAGAAGCTGTCATCCGGCAATGGATTATTTTCGGATGATTCGTTGCCGAGTGTTATGCATCACCTGTCTTTTATGCCCCCGATTTGGCTGTGCCGTCACAGCTATTTGCTGCATTGTGGTGTCGTGGATGAGAAATGCACGCGTGTTGTTGGAACTGCATAGTGGCCCGTGCTCCGTAATACGTGTACGAGTGTGACCGGTCGTTCGGGCTCCCGATAATATGCGCCTGGATGGGTTGCGTGGCTCATTGGCTCTATGCAGAATTGATGGCCATGAAACGTTGAAGCGATAAGACATTTCTCATTGTCTTCGTTTAAAAAGTTTCGTGGATGTTCTCATCATGTTCTCATCATGTCACATCATTTTCTCACCTCTAAACTCTGATACGCCCACTTATCGACTTTCATGCGAACTTCAGCTGAAAGATAGCCTGCAAATAGTGTATGGACATCCGAGCCTCGAAAGTTTTTGCAGAAAGGTCAAGCAAAAGGCCTATACGGACTACAACTTCCCCGTAGCATAATGGCTGACACGCTGTTGTTGCCAAGAAGTTACACACATCACGCGGGTTCGATTCTACCCAAGGCATCACGTAATCCCAAGAAGCAGAACAAATCTGTTCCAAGGTGTGACACGGGGAATATCCCTGAACACCCATATGCTGGCAGAGCTGGGCACAATTTTAACAATGGTGGGAATATCCACCCCCCCCCCCCCCCCCCCACCCCCCTCGTGACAACTGGGTTTAGTGAGATTTTGGTCCAGCGCTATGCCAGTAATGAACTGTTCTCAATGAAAATGGTGCGTCCAAGTTTGTAGGAACTAGCGCTGTCCGGACCAGCGCATTTCTAGTTGTCTGTAATTGTGGAGCCCTTACCCTTTTGTTGATTAAGCTGACAGCCGCCCATTAAAAGGTGTTGACGGATCCTCGCAGGGATAATAAGATGTCGCTTTTCCTTTCGTTTCTTTCTATCCAACCTCTGGCTATCTGTGGCACTGTGTGGCTTCCATAGATCGAAGGCTGTTTTCCAGAGATTGGAGCGGCTCTCTGCCTCCCCCCCCCCCCCCTCCCTGTTCAGAGGTCATTTTGGCAACCACAGCGTGCGCTGTTGTGCAGATGGACTTACTGATGTGTAGCGTGGGAGCAGCGCAGCCCGCCTGAGCGGCGGCGCGTGTGCGCCCGGCGACCGCGACCTCGGCTGAGCGGCGCCGCCCGCCCTCGCGCCGCCAGGTACGGCCAGCTGCTGGACCAGTTCGAGGCCGTCTCGTATGGCGACGCGCTGTTCGGCGCCGTGGTGATGGTGCCGCTCGAGCCGCGCCACCCGTCTGAGCTGCGCCGACTCGTCTGGAGCGAGCGGCCGCACGCGCTGCGGGCCCTCACCACCCGACCCGACCAGGTGCGTCCAGCCGCCCGCCGCGGCGCCGCGCGCACTGGCAGATACCGACCGAACGGCGTGCGCAGCCTCACGTGTGCAGCGCGGATACGCACGCACACACGCATTGTCACACAGCTGTGCATCATGCAAGGTGGAATGTTCTTTGACGAGAGGGAAATATCGGACTATGGCATGTTCTGCATCAATGAATTGATAACCTTGTCCACATCATTGAATTGATGACCTTACCTACATCAACTAGTCGATGGTCCTACCATGGAGGTAAGGCTATCGATCTTGGTGGCTACGGCCTATCGCCGGCACTCCAGCAGGTGCTTTGCGATGAACAATGGACGCCTTGTCCCTTCACACGGATGTTAATGATGGTCTGTGCATATGCGCCAGTTGAGACTTGTCCCGAGTGCGGTACTGGATAATTTGTGGCACACCGCCAGGACTGTGTTTATAGTTAATTACTTAGCATAGGTGGCGCAGCCTCGTCGATTTTTAGGCGCGTCGAGAAAAGATGACTTCCGATTAGCTGTGAACCCAGCATTGCCGGGATATGCCCGTTTCAAGCCTCCTTTAGGGGTGTTTATAACATGCTGAAGGCACGCTGTGGGGTGCATTGGCCAGCAGAGGTCGCATAACAACGTAGTAAGCACGCTTTTCCATTACCGATGCCGTTTTGTTTAGACGCCGGGGGAGAACACTCGGAACGAATCGTCCAACGTTATCTTGGCAGTAGGCTGCAGACGAACATATAGACGCAGTAGACCAACGTTGCGTTTCCGCTTTTTGTGTTCGCATTGAGAAGTTCAATGTGCAAGTGGATTGAAACACGTTGCCGCACTAAACAGTAGCGATCCTCGTCTGGACGATTTTCGAATAATCTTCGATATATTTATCGTTCCCTATGGTGAACACCGAAGCTTTTCGCACGTATTGGTTCGAAAATGGGTGTGTCAGCAACGACATGGGTTTTCACCCTCGGACAAACTCAGCATTGATAGCATTGAATCAGTCGCTATCATGCAGTTTGTTGCGCTCAATGCTTGTCCCTTCCGCCAGATCGTGCCTGTCTTAAACGGGCGTTCTAGCCTCGTTGGCTATCAGTCCATTGCGTATAGTCACTCTTATCAGCACCATTTTTCTGCACGCCGTTTGTTGGCTGTCGACAGATGCTGGTGCCACTGGAGCAGTTCGTCGCGTCGCCGGAGCCGGACCAGGTCGTGCGGACGGCGTACCGACGGGCGCTCGACTCGGGCCAGGTCACGGCCGCCCGCAACCCGGCCCTGTTCCGGATCGCCTCGGCCCTCTCTGGTGCCGCGTGACCCAGGCGGTCCCCTCTGGCGCCGCGTGACCCAGGCGGTCCCCTCTGGCGTCGCGCGACCCCAGCGGCCCTGTGGTACTGCGTGATCCTACGGCCCTCTGGCGCCGCGTGAGCCCGACGGCCCTCTGGCGCCGCGTGATCCTACGGCCCTCTGGCGCCGCGTGAGCCCGACGACCCTCTGGCGCCGCGTGAGCCCGACGGCCCTCTGGCGCCGCGTCATCCCAGCGACCCTCTCTGGCGTCCTGTGACCCCAGCGGCTCGGGCTGGCTTCGGTAGAGTGGAAGCGTCGGGTAGTATGCCACGTGGCGGTCCGAAAGTACCTGGGTGTGGTGGATGGAACACGTCGCCGTTTTTAACTGGCTGAAGAAGAATATGCGAACATGTCAGGCTTTGATGATCGCCATAAACACGACTTTTCAGTCTTGCGGACTATGTGTTTTTCACAGATGCTATAGACAAGAGAAGATATGACTGGCTCTTTAATCTTCATTCCTTTATGGCCTTATAAACGGAATGTGTAATAGTTTGACAGCCGCGGCAGTCGGACGTCTCAGTCTCATCGAGCGGCGATACGCAGCAATCGAACCCCGTCCACTACCTTGATCTAAATGATTGCAGTGATAATCCTAGTGTCAAGAACGACAGCGGCTAATCAAACGCCTTCACCTTCAATAAAACATGCTCAGCAGCCAGATCATTTCTGAGGAAGGGAAGGTTAAGCGCTATTCGGCATCGTATTGAAAGCATCAAACAGTATGTAAGCCGGCCCTACGGCACCGGACGGTGCGTCTCGGCTCATCTTACGCGGCGGGTTCTGTCGTGAACGACAGCCGGTCGTCAGCGACGGGAGCGGATGCGCCTCGGACGGTGCGCCTCGGCTCACCTTACGCGGCGGGTTCTGTCGTGAACGACAGCCGGTCGTCAGCGACGGGAGCGGATGCGCCTCGGACGGTGCGCCTCGGCTCACCTTACGCGGCGGGTTCCGTCGTGAACGACAGCCGGTCGTCAGCGACGGGAGCGGATCGGTCGATGCGCAGCTGCAGACCCGGCGCCGTGGTGGTGTTAACCGCGACGTGCACCTCACTCAGAGTTCCGGGAACCAAGGCTGTCGACTTGTGCCAACGGCTCATAATGGACGCCAACGATCGAAGGCATGAGCGAGCTCCCTTCAACGCCATTCACAGCTGTTGCGGCGTGGTCGCGTCATTTTGTAATAGCCACCAGGGGCTGTCTGATAAAGCCAGCCTTCAGGACAACTTGCCGGAAATCGATAACTAAAAATGTCGCCGGTGATCAGATTCGTGCTTGCCTCCAGCGAAATTTCATCTTATTTCGGTATGGTCTCCGTTACAGTTGGCATCATATTTGGGCTCTGCCTCATTACTTGCTAAGTCGGATGGGATTATATAATATATATATATGTATATATATATAATATATATATATATATATATATATATATATAGCGATACATTCCGAGTTGGTTCAATTTGACTTAACATATGACGAAACAATGTAATAAAAATAGGATGTGACTTTTACACGATTCACGACATTGCACGATGTGAGCTAGGCAGCTTGCTATACTTCTGCTAAACACATATTGCACGATTAAAACTTGATTGAATTCGTCATCAGATTCAGAACAAGAAGCATCAGCTCGAACCTATGCCGGAAGTCTGGTTCGAATTCATTTCCAATTTTCGACGGGAGGTTTTTAAATCCGATTCAGATGGGCCTTTATTTGACACACTTACTTCCAGATGAGTACCGACTCAATCCAAGCGAAACCAAGCACAAGACCCACACAACACGATCCGGAGCTTGGATTTCGGGCCTCTCCGTCCTTGTTGCAAAAGCCAGCTTGCCGTGACCAGAATCTCGTTCGTAAACCTGTAGTGTCGGCATACTGAACTTTTTTCGGGGCGATTTCGTCATGCATTGGTCTATCGGAGGCTTTACACCTGCAACCAGCGATTGCGATCTTAAGTTTGTGATTAAAGTAGGTGGGCATTGCAGTACGCGATGCAATGGCGAGTTTTCAGCCCCCTCGCCATGTTCTCTTGTTTTTTTTTTCACATGATTTCAAGATCCCCGCTGTAGCCACATTAATGGCCACCATTGCATGTGAAGTGCGAGCTTGTATTAATAAAACGATATGTTCAGCGTCGTGGGGTGTAAGTGTTATATGAATGATTACGAGGTAGCCCAGCATCCGAACACTGACTTTCCGGATCGCGGGTGACTGGCAGCTTTAGTTCCCACGCTAGTGTGCATGGTAGAACACGGCCATGTAAAAGGATACTCGACCCACAGATATGTGGCAGCAAAGTCCCTCAACATGCCTTATGCGGTGAGCGTAGCTCTGCTTGACTATAACTGCCACTGTACTTGATTGTCTGCTTGTACTCTGCGCTCTACTTAATCGGTCGTTGCACCCCACAGGTCGGTGAAAGGCATCATTGCTAGTACGTAGAACCGCCCACTTGAAAGGTTCGGGACGGTCTTGGCGCCCGGACAGTTGGGTGTCTTCCAGCACGGCGCCCTCTGGTCCTGCGCCTGCCGAGAAACCATTGCTTATAATGTGGCTGACGCAGACCACAAGTGCCCGGTGGGAACGAGATGGTGTCGATGTGAGCCGCCCGGGGGCCTGGCCCGCTGGTGACGCCCGGCCACGGCGGGGCGCGAGCCAGCCGGCGCGTCAGGCGCGCGGCCGGCGCCGGCCCAGCCTGTACACGACAATCTCGGCGACCAGCAGGAGCAGCGGAGAGCGCCGCGCCACCGAGAAGCGAGCCGAAGATGCCGGCCACGGCGCCCAGTCCGAGCTGCGAGTACTGGGCGGCGTGCGGCTCCCACCGAGGCAGAGGCGCGAGCCCACCAAGTGCTCGCGCCGCAGCCGCCGCCGCCACCGGTTCAGCACGCCAGTCTCCTGCAGCACGCGTATTGTAGCGGTTCAACATCCAGGCGTTGTGCAAGTGGGGCGGCCCGATCATGCCCACTGGCGACGAGGCGACCTGCTCGGGCCAGTAACAGAGCGGGCACGTGGCCGGGTCGGCGAAGGCTGGGGTCCATTGCCAGGAAGGCGTCCGTTGCCAGGATGGTGTCGCCCGACGGGCGTGTTGGCGTACGCGAAACGCCGGGTACTGCTCCTCCGGGCCGGCGAACGCGGATCGGCTGGCTCTGTTTCAGCATGCCGCGCAGCAGCTGGGTGCTCATCGGAGCGCAGCAGTGGTCTCCTCCGGCGAGTTCTGGCTGGTAGCGGAAGCGATAGCCAAGCGTTACGGCTTCGGTCAAGGCTGGAGAAGCGGGCCTTCGCACCAGACCGTCATGATCTCAGCATGACGCCCGTGTAGAAGGTGTAAATGAAGAGCGAGAACAGACTGGGCCGTCATGAAGACCGTGCCCGCGGAGAACGAGCCGACCGTCAGTTTCGACGCCCCTGGTGGCAGATGAGTGCCGACCACCTGCAGCGCGTGCGAGCTGGCCTCGTGCAGGGTCCGCCAGACGACGCCCCCCGGCCGACCGGCCCCGTCGTCGCCGTCATGCTGGTACCGGCGCACCAGCCAGGCCGTCAGCCACGAGCAGAGGCCGGACAGCAGCAATCGTAGCCAGGATGCCGATCCAGACGGACGTCACGAACGGCTGGGCCGGGTCGAAGTCGGCGCTGGCGAGCTGCGGCCGCCGCACCGTGGCGTACGTGGTGACGTAGTACTGCGCGTGCAGAAACTGGACACGCTTGCTGCGACCGGGCGTGGAGCTCAACAGCGCTAAGCCCAAGTCCAGCCGGTACTCGGCCACCTCTTGCACCAGTCGCTCCCAGACGGACGTGTTGGCCGTGGCGTGCACCGAGTGCACCGAGTAGCTGAAGCCGAGCGCGGCGGCCATCGTCTGAACGAGGTCGGCCTGCGGGCCGGGCAGGCAGGCGGCCGTCGCGCACCGCTACGCCGTCCTCGTAGCCGGCGGAGCGCACCGTGCCGTCGGCGGCCGCCGGCAGCGCGCCGAAGCCCAGCCGCAGGTGTTGGCCGCGCATGGCGCCGCGCAGCAGCCAGTCGCCCACGGTGACAGGCGGCCACGGCGCGCCGGGCGTGTCCTCCTGGAAGGCAGCACCGTCGGCGCGGCAGCGGCCGACCGGCGCCACCACCCACTGGCCGCGCTGCGGGCTCCAGCGCAGCGTGTCCAGTCGGCCAGGCGTCGTCGCCGCGGTACAGCCAGCTGACCCAGCCGGCCGGGGCCGTCGCGCGGCCGGAATGTCGGGTCGCTGATGACGTGCACCCAGTGGTGGTCGCCGTGCAGGCAGCCAGAGCGGCGATTGGTTGAAGAGCAGGCCGCCGCTTGCTGTGCGGCGGCAGTCGGGGCCGCCGAGCCGTGGTGTGCCATGTGTACGAACAGACCGAGCGCCGAGAAGTCTGACAGCCAGCGGGCGGCGGAGAAGTCTGCGGACGCGCGGGCAGACGTCAGCGAGGGAGTCGAGGTCTGACTGCGATCAAGACGGGGTCACACTGCGGAGGGAGCCTTCGACAGACGGCGGGAGGCAAAGACATCGGCGGCAGAAGGAGAGGACAGGGGTCGTGGGAATGGCGCCCGGCTCACCAGAGAAAGAGCTTTGGTGAAGCTACGAGCCTGCGAGCGGGCGAGTTATCCAGCGCACCTGAGGAAGCACCTCCGACAGATCGAGAAAAGGGTCCCTCGGGCAAACCCAGCAAATAATTCTGCGAAAAATGTATGCATGGAGTATGCATGCATGCATGCATGTATGTATGTATGTATGCATGTATGTATGTATGTATGTATGTATGTATGTATGTATGTATGTATGTATTTATGCATGGAGTATGAACGACCTGTATGCAACCGGGGCGAATCCTCGGGAATTCCTGGCGAAGCCGGCCTCTCACGCCAGTCTGCAGACGCTAAGGATGAACATAATGACTTGGCGTGGTGCATGCACACACTGAGCAAGCAGCTTAACCATGCGAGTGCTTGCAGCGTGTTAAATAATCGCGTGGGTTTGTTGATCAATGAAATGTGCAGTCAATGCGAATTTACCATTGTACCAGTATGACAACGTTTGTCAGCGTCAGAACAAGCCCGTCTCGCCAACTACGACGACCAACAGGCAAACTTTGGTCCGTTACGTACGGGCTGCTAACCGAAGGTTGGGTCCGTTACATACGGCTGCTAACCGAACGCCTCCACGCCCCAAGTCTTCGGAGCTGAGACCATGCAAGTGATGATCCCGTTATGCTGAACCCGGGGCTCACGTGTAGCGTCGCACTTAAGGGGAGAACCCTTGGTCGTGG